CTTCTTGAAAACCTAACATCACCTCCTCTGCCTACACACACACACCACACACACACACACACACACACGAAAGCTCAACCCCCGCCCCCCAATAGCTGCACCATGCTGTGTAAGCGGCGGGTGTGGGTGGGGTAGGATGGGGTTGGAGGTCAGAAGCAGGAAGAGTTTTTTTTTTTTTGGGTTGCCCGCCCCCGTTAACAAGCTGCACGTCTGCATGCAGGAAGTTGTTTGTGCACAGACACAATACAAGTTTATTTGAATCCAGCAGGGAAGAGTCGGCTGTGGTGTCACTCAGCTAGTTTTAGGGTTAAAGGCTAAAGAAAATGTTGAGGTAGCATCCATCAGTCTGTTGCTTTTACTGAACCAAAGGAACCAAAACTAAAAGTCATCAGGAAAGGAAAAAAGCCCCACAAATGTTCATATGTAAACTTCCACCTATTTCAACATTTTCCCCTGACAATTAGGCTAAAATGTTTCCACTCTCAAGCATTTTTTTATTTTCAAGTCTTTTTCTTTTACATTCTGGAAGATGTAGTTTTAATGATTTATAACAATTCAAACCAATATTACCACAACAGAAAATAATAATAAAACCAGCAACATCGCAGCTTTCAAAATGTACAACATTAAAAATCCAGTTTTCTGAGAAACTGGTCTGAATCCCCGAGGCTAGACTTTATTTATTTAGAAGACTACTATTCTGGATTGTGTGCAAGCATTTGAACAACTTTCAAGACTTTTGTCCCAACTTTAATGTCCTATTTCAAAATGAGATACTTTAAATTAGGATCCAAGATACAATCAAAATGCAGCTTCCTTGTTTAAATAAGCCCCTAATTCAGAATGAGTCACCAGCCATGTTTCCTCAAAGACAAAAGAAACAAGACACAACACTGTCAATAGTGATTTAACCTTTTAAACAACACTGATTTGAAGGCCCCTTCTAAATGTCTGACAACACATCTAATCTAATGAAAACTCAAAGAAAATTTCGTTTGAAACCTTATTTGATAAATGAACAATACAAGTTTCTCTCCATCCTTCTGTGCCTCCCACCACGCCAGATCAGTGTTTCTCTTTCCCCCTCTGCCTCACTGTGCTGTCGGCTCAGGGTGTGAGCAGAACAACGTTAATGTGTGGAGACACCTGACAAGCCCGCTGGCCTTTAGGGCTCAGCCTAATCACTCTGGACCCAAACCCATCGGGAATTAAACCTGCAAAACCAAACAGTCACTGTGGGAGCTGGCTGGCATCTGCTGGGGTCACTCGAACGGCTGCTGAGGGAAAGGACGTTACAAGCTGCATGTTGGTGAAAATGCGTTGTTTTAAGAGAACAACATCAAAGCCAATTTATATGCAAAAGTGCAGTGCAAATTCTTACTTTTATTTTGTCGAAATGTATAGCTTTTCCTTTAAAGATCATTGGAAAGCATGCAAATTAGTAACTTTGATCATTCAGGTCACTCTTCTGTCATATGTACATGACAAAAGCCCAACTTATTTGCATGCTGGCTGCATTGCTATTGCAAGACTAGTTCTTGGTTTAACTGAAGCAGAATATATTATAGGGAACTTCCATCTTCTACTATTGCTACCTCTGTAGGTAATTCGACACAGGGCATTGATTTTTAACTGTGGCAGTCAATCTGACAACATAAAGGATTCTTAAATCCTGCACACATACACAAACATATTCATGTGCCATTGTGCTAAAAAAAACGTCCAAAAATGATAATTCTGTATGAGTCTGATAAATGCTGGCTTACGACAACACAAAGTAGGTTTGACAGAGGCCAAGAGTCAGTCTGAAGATGTCGCTGTAATGCGTTTGAACTAACATGAAAGCCCCTTTTCCACCATTCAGAGTACAGTAGTGCGTTAACTTTAAAATTAATGGGGATTTTCCAGTGTTTAAAGTACAGTAGCTTGTTAACTCTGGTATCTGTTAAGCCACGCAGGGCCCCTCTCCACTCTCTCTCTCTCTCCAGATGCCCTCATTAATTTTAGATTGGCTCTAAATGAGTCTCCTTCATCGTGGCCTAGGTTTTCTAAATTAGATTCATTTATATTTAAATTGTGAAACAGGCGTGGTTAATGAGAGAATCATTATTTTTGGGGTTATTTCAGATGGGCTGATAGTTGGGCAGCTCAGTGCTGTGTGAAGTGAAGCCACCAGAGGAGGCACACATGATGTGAAAAGCACAGCATTTGGGCTTTTCATTTTCTCTGACTAACGTTAAAAGGCACCTAAGCACTGGATTTCAAAATAAAGGCCTTCTTGCTAGGAAACCATCCATTAATTGTCAGTAAGACCATCTTACGAGCACTGTTTTGAAGTTTAAATTAGCAGAGAGGAGGACAAATGAGGGACTAGTGACTTTCTTGATAGATGTCAAATGTTGTATGTAAGGAACAAAGAAAAAGGAAAATGGGAAATAGGGGAGTTTCTGAACTCTTTAGGTGCAAATTGTACTATATGTTTGGTTATGTCTAGGTTGAAGACAATAGAAAATAAGATCTAAGATACATTATATTGGGAGAAAATGCAAAGTGGAAACTGTCATATATACACAACATATCCTTGTTTCCTTTGTTAACATCTAATTCAACACTCTTAAAACTAATGTGCCGTTTTCAACACATCTGTGTAGTTTTCAGCACCACATGTGCCAAAAACGCATTACAAGGCACAAATGTTAACTTAACAGGTGCCTCTATCGACACACGGTGCCCCGACAAAGCAGCAGGATGCCTCTCGACCTAAACTGCTAAAACTGGGGTGTTGAAAATGTCACATCTAAGGAAAAGAGGACGTGAGGTGGAACAACAGAACTTCCCCCGTCCCCATGAACTCATCCATCCTTCTCATAAAAAACACAAATCACACAGCACTTTACAGCTGTACGTCTCCTTACAAGGCGTCTCACAGCTCCCGGCGTCCTATAGCAACCCCCAGCTTCTCCCCGCCAGGAATTTGACTGTTAGGAATCTAAGTGCCAGGCGTTTAAAACCTGAGGAATGCTATTGTTCTGGTCACAGCTGCACTAGCACTGGCCTGGCTACTGCTGCCGCTGTGTGTGTGAGTGCAGGGAAGAGAGGGGAGGAGGGGAGGAGGTGGAGGAAGGAGGGCAGGAGGAGTCGAAGGTGTGAAAAAGGCAACTTTACGTGTTTCCAGTGCTCTGCGGTCTCATGACAAAGCAGCACATATTTGACAGCAAGTTGACACATTCCTCGGGGCTGGACAGTTGCAAAGCTCTCTCTCCACCCTCTCTGTCCCTCTTCTTCTATCTTCCTCCAGCATCATACATCCTGCTTTATCTCTCTCTTTAAATCAGATAAATGTACACAACACACATGCTCAGAACTGCAGAAAACACTGAGGCATGTATGAAAGGGGAAAGCGGGAGATTGAACCCACACAGAGTTCAGGTGGTGTAGGTTGAGGATGGGGCTCTTTATGTAAAATATATATAAAGGCTTTTTTGAAATCCACTATATTTCAGTCTGTAATGGTGGGCGACAAACATTAGGAAAACATCTTTTTTGACATTGTGGGTGTTGTTTAGGCGATTGCAATGTCCACTGTAGGCCCACAGCGAATTCAAAATGCCGCTGTCAGAGGCAATTTTCATCACATCACGCTTCAGATCTCTGCTTTCTGGTTAGTTTCAGAACTTTAAAATTGTTTATAAATCTCAGTAACTGCTTATAAAATGTCTTTTTTTTTCTTCTTGAACATTGGATTAGATTAGTTGTGATTGTAATTTAAACTTAAGCTGATTAAGCATGAAAATTCAGTCTTAGGTTAGTTTAGAAACTGTCTTTGGCTTCACCACAATCAACATGAATTACAAATGAGACAATAGTGAAAAACAGATAATTGGGTGAGTTTGGAGTTCATAGGCAATTCAAATAGAGTTCAATAGTCCTATTACAAAAAGTACCAAATTCAATAAACGTAAGACAAACGTGTAGATTCAGCGAGGGGTTGAGGTAAGGGAGTGGGCCTGTATGATTGACTATGTATTAAGTAATTTAACAGTTTAACTGCACTTTGGACTGCGCTTGGCAGTTGCATCTGTAGTTTTTCTATTATTTTACTGGCTGTATTAACCACTCTAGACCGTTTCCCTTTATATTTGATAGCCAAATGTCTTGACCTTGGAAACCGTACTTTAACAACAAGGGTTAAACCATCTTAACTCATTTACCAGCCTTTTCAGGGTCTTTCAGCCACATGTCACAGTCTCCTACAGCGACGTTGCTCAGTTGTCATGGAGAAAGCTCAGACATGTACTTGGGTCATGCGATGACACCTGGGCTACAGTGTATCTCCATGACAACTCACAAACTACAATGGAAGAGGAAGCTGCAATGCAGTTGAAAGCTAGTAAGTTTTTTTTATTTTTGTCACACCACATCTGATTGCTTTAGTTATTTGTAACTGTCTAAATATATTATTATCTTAATATTATTTTTATGACCCAAATTGAATCTCTCCTGAAGATAAATGTGTTATATACTGTAAATAAAGAGAGTTGCTTGATTGCTAGTGCTTTATGTTATTTAAGTCATAAATAACCCTTCCTGCACAATATCCCATGATATTTATTTATGTGTAGGTCTTTTTGTATGGTTTCAACTTCTATTATGACAATTACTGACTGAAGCCATATTTTCATCTTCCAATATCCGTTCCCTATATGATACATGCACCAGTAGAGGAAGCAGAAGCAACAGTAGTGAGGTGGCAGGGCTCCCCCCCCCTCTCTCTCTCTCTCTCTTCCTTTCTAGTAATTACCATCCAGCTGCTTGGAGGAACAATGCTTGGCTCTCTTCCAGACGGCTGACTTCATACACTCTGTGCCACGCTCAATTTGGAGCGCAGCGGAAGCTGGGCATGACTGGCACCCTCCAGGGCATTGCTGTGTCTCTCTATGGGACTCACTGTGTGTGTGTGTGGGTGTGTGTGTGTCTTTGGGTGTGTTCCCTAAACCTACCAGTTCCCATTTGCCATCCGGCTCATGCATTGTCCTGGTCTCTTGATCGTGTCTTCACTCTCCTGTTACGTCACTGAAACAACAAAACAAAATGAAATAATTAACAACGAGTGATGATCAGTGGCACTTTTTTGCAGTGTAATTGGTTTTGTTGCTGATTCTTAACAGCAGCGGGTTGTGGGCTGTTCGCAGGGAAATCCTCCTCATGCTTAAATGAAATTCTGCGTTATATTTATCTGCCTTGTTTGCAGTATTTATCAGGGTAGAAGCAGCATGAGCAGTGATGGCCAAACGCAAAAGGCACAGACTTGTTTGATAGGTGATCAGTATTATACAAAAACAGTACAAAAATGACCACAAACTTATCTTTTCAGTGTATTAAGTACCAGCGATCTGGTTGAATTCAAGCAGGCAGATTTATAAAACACTCAGCCTTGGTGAAAAGCTGCTGAGACTAAAAGGTCATAGTTCACAGCGAAATCCTTGCACACCCACAACAGTTCCCACTGCTTCCTGATACAAAGTTGTGTTACCAGGCAACAAGTACCATTCAGGCTAGTAACTTGCTGACTTTCATCCCCTCATGCACTGCAATAAAGTTTAGTTGCAGAAAGTTACAGCTGACTCTTTGGTGTTGTGTTGAACTGATGTGAAGCTGGCTAAAACTAATGTAGCAGCAAATCTACTAGCAGCCATTTGAATATGAAGAACTCCCTCATTATACGGGTCAAAGGAAGCTATTGTTACCCCCACATGCATACATACGTGTGTGTGTGTGTGTGTGTGTGGGATACAGTACCCCCCACCCACCCCTCTTAAAACTTGGCTGAATAGGGTGCAGCACTACCCGGCTCTTCCTCCTGCAGCACAATGAGGACCTGTTTGGGTCCAGTATTCCCAGTTACCCCCAATCCCTCTGCCCAAAAAAAGCAACACAAACAAACACACACATACACACACTCTATCAGTCCCAGCCTGTCCCCTACTGTTTTGGACAGAAGGGCATTTAAAGAGCAGAGACAAACAGCAACAGTTGCTAATTGTTGTGTAACAGTTCGACAAGGAGATAGCAGCATTAAAACAGAAAGACTTACAGTTCTTTCAGATAGTCACACCATCCAGCTGACATGGTGCGATTTGAGACTTCTTTCCAACCTGAAGCTGTTTTACATTTCTTAAGACAATGAGTGCCGACTCTTATATTTTTTTCACACACCACACTATTTTTATTGCAATTAAGCAATCCAAAAGTCATAAACATTATGAAAATAACAGTTCTCTGAGTTTTTGAAGTTGTCTTTAATTGCAGAGGCTTGAGAGATCTTATTATTTAAATACACAAATAAAATACACTTTTTTTCATTATTTGTGCTGTTGAAATCATAATTATGTAATTAATATGCCTGTATGTCATATGGCATTAAAAGTGTCAAACATTAAAGCTGTACCCTTACTAGTAAGAACCTTGATAGTGGACAATTTCAAAAAATTTTTTTTAAAAGTTTTAAAAATCAGCGATGGAAAAAAGCACTCTTTTAATTCCGTCATCTTGTTGTGCCCTCTTCTTTTTCAATAGTTTAGTAACATCTGACTGGAGAATTAGCGCCACCAGTTGTTTATCTTGATATGCCCGGCTCTTAATAGTCACATATTATGTGCATTTTGTTTTTCAAATTTTCTGGAAATTCAGTTAAATTTTGTGCTACATTTGGATGTAAACCTGGCCGGTGCCAACACTTTCACAAACGACTTTTACGATATGTGTGCATTGCAACTACAGTATGGTCATCATTATAACTTGGTTAAATTTAGGTAAAGATCATACATATGTTCAAAATCATTTGAATAATAACAATAAGAGTTGCTGGTGTCATAAAACAAACAGTCTCCCATGTGAAAGTAAGACCCCTCCACAAGCTCCTCCTACACTCTCCATTTCTTTTCTAATGGTAAACTACTTTATGCATTGGCACTAAATGTAGGCATTGGATATAAATTAAGTGCAACAGAGTTTTTAATTTAATACTAACGTTTTGTTATATAGTCTATATAGGGTATGTATGGCAAGATCAAACACAAAAAAAGCGGTGTTAAAATGGTGTATAACGCATAGCTGTAAAGAGGTACAGATATAGTAGCCTATATAACTAGCCAGTGAGGATTAGGGGTTGAATTGCCATGTAACTTAATGGGTACAGCAAGGTACTATTACTGCCAAGCCACTGGACTAGAAAATGTATAGGGTACGGTTACATAGCTAACTTAGCCTAACAGTAGTGGCAGTGGGGAGGATGGTAATTGAATACCTGTAGAAAACAGTGCTAACAGTGCAAGCAAATCTAATATGGATATTTTTAAATTGAAGCTGCTGATATTTAGTTTTTTATTAGTTTTCAGCATCCCTGAGTTAATGGGTAATATCAACTTCCCTGGCCCTTAAGATTAGCATTTCCATCAAACGGCCTGTGCTATTTTCTTTAAACAAATTATCATATCTATATTATATTGTCTGCCTCAATACGGGCACAGTATATTCATATGAACCCCACCACGAATACAATAACAGTAATGTCATTCCCCATTTGCAAGGCATGTGTCTGAGGCTGGTGCAGCATGGCAGAGGGCCAGGCCAAAGCAAACAGAGGTGTGTTTCTGATTTGACTGCTCACTCACTGCTGTTACAGAGTTGATACAGAGACACAGTGACGTGTCGAACAAATGGTTGCACTTTTGAAGACTGTAGGAACTGGCTGAATGTCTGAATGACTTCAGTTTTACTTTCCAAAAACAGAACTGAACACTGGGTTTAAACTGTGAGTTTTACCTTCCTTAAAAGGTACTTTATAGTTAGTTCATTTGACTTTACTTTATATAATATACTTATTTTACAGCTGGTTTTACTTGCCAAAAAATACTTTTAGGTTATACTTTCTTAAACAGTCATTTACTTTGCATTTGGTTACATTTCCAGAAGGAACTTTACAGTTTACTTTCCAGAATGGAACATGATGTCTAAACCAAATAACCCTGATTAAGTCCAGTGTAAATATATACGAGGAAAGATTGATGATATCTATTTATACAATGTATTTCTACCACACTATATAGCCACCGTGTGTATGTACCGGGTGCAACTGATACTATTATACCTACGAGTGGACGGGTATGCGTAATTGAGCACACGTATGCATATACAGTGTAAGTGTGTTTGAGTGTTACACCGCCTATACTACATGTACTGAATATATGTACAGTACCTATGTATGTATGTATATATGTTTGTATGTATGCACTGCATGTGTTTATCGACCTTTTGAACACAGGTTCATGTGTGTTAATTTCTGTGTATTTGTGTGTGTGAGCTTGTGTTAACATGGGTGTGTGTGTGTTAACGGCAGCGGGCCCCAGGCAGGGCCCCCCACAGTGTCCAGGGGGATTGTGGGTAGTTGGGAGAGGGTTTGGATTCTGGCTTTGTTTGTCTCTGTGTGCTGACATCACTGTGCTGATGGCACTAAATCCCCTGTTCTACTGCACACAGCACTTTCTATACAAAACACCAACACACACACACACACACACACACACACACACACACACACACACACACACACACACACACACACACACACACACACTAACACACATGGTACAAGTAATGCCAACTGGCCAAAAAAAAAGAAACTCTTTCTCTTTTTAACACACGTGCAGACATCCATGTATGCACATATGGATGTACTGCACTCTCAAACACACACACACACCTGACAGGGGAGGCGGTGTGATCATCAGATTTGAAGCTATATTTGGCACACTATATGAACTTCAAATGACAAATGTATGTTTTTAAAAAGACATATGACATTCCACCTGTTGATAAAGTTTTATGACCCACTGACGCCTTGTCTTATCAACATTAACAACTAGAAGCTCAATTAATTACAATTGAGATTTCATGTCAGTTTTTTTAACTGAGTTAGTTGAGAAAAAGATCTTCATATATGTATAGTTATAATGTTGAACTCTGATAATACAACAAAGCACAATTGTTCCCACTGATGCAGCATTTCATCACCTGTATACTACAAACATGGCAACATCTACAGGCTAAACAGAATAGTTAAATACATTGAGATTGTCTTAGTATTTCACTGCCTCTCCAGAGCTGCAGTACTTCCATACATGTCAGCCATTAAACTGATTGTTGTCCCACACACACACAGCCTATTTGCTCATAAGCTCAACTATCTGACTCTGTCTTTGCATAGCCTAGTTAAACATTAACGGGAGCCTTTCTCTTCCCTCCAGTGCTGTCTTTGGTATGTATGGAGCTCAGCAAAGGGCGGGAGGAGTCGGCTGATCGGGCCGACGGTACTTCCTCTCAGGCCTAGAGGAAGTGGGCAGTTGTTTTTTTCAACTGAATTGTTTATTGGTGGCATTTGTTTGGTATGTACAGTGAAACAAGGTCTTGGTCATCCTTTTAACTGTTGCACGTTCAGTCTGCCAGCAACAGCACTTGCAGGAAATAGTTTTACTTTCAGCTCAGAGTTTGAAGCTGCCGCAGAGCCTTTGATAGATGATTGTTTTTTGACAGAAATGAATGTGCAATCCATATGTTTATATGCACAAATATTAATGAACTGGAGTTACAACACCGCATGATCCTCGTGTGGGAATGTTTTTTTATATAGGGTTTCAGTGTCTTGCTCAAGGACACTTCAGGCAGTTGCTTGGTGACACAGTTTCAACCTGCATCCTTTAGTTGAATTGCAGTCTCTAAAACCACTCAGCCTCACTGATGCCCTTCTATGGTTTTGTAGTTTTCAGGGCATACAGGGACTTAATATGGTCAAACAGACACATATCCGCACACAGAAATCCAGAGACACACACAAAGACATAGAGATACACAAAAGGCATAGCAAAATGCACACATACACAAACACACAACCCACTGCTCCTGAGGACCCGGGAAAGCGGTTGGGACGGACCCAGCACTCAGAGCCACTCAAAGCCAATCAAAGCTGATGATAGCTCAGACATTTACACCATCCATCCACTGCCTCCCTTGCTCAC